AGCCTACTCTGTGGCAGGGCGGCAGCAAAGAAACAATTCTCTGCCACCATTGCTTCTACACAGCCATCCAGTGGCAATCTTTCAGGTGGCCAAGAGCCTACTACACCAACATCCAATGACCACTTGACAGCATGTCATGAAGACTCCACACAGCACTCTGCAGACAAAGTTGTTTGGACCACTCTGACTTAGATGCTGCAGCTGATGCCAGTCCCTAGGTAGCTGCTTGTCCTGTTATGATGATATATTTCAGTTGGTGCAACCTGAGGATGTGGACAGGATCTTTGGAGTGGTGAAAGCCACCACATGTGTGGTGGACCTTCACCCTTCCCAGCTTATAAAAGCAGCCAGAGGGTTACTGGTTGAAAGGGTTAGGGAAGTGGTGAATGCTTCCTTGCAGCAAAAGAGGATACCAGGATACCTAAAGGAAGCATTAGTAAGAACTTTGCTTAAAAAGCCCTCTTTGAATCCCACTGTATTGGATAACTATTAGCCTGTCTCCAATATTCCATTTTTGGCCAAGGTTTTGGAGTTTGTCCCGGTGTTCAAGCCCCAGCGGTTCCTGGATTAAGTGGATTAACAAGATCCATTTCAATCTGGCTTTAGGCCTGGTTACAAAACCCAAACAGCTTTGGTCACTTTGGTGGATGACCTACGCCAGGAACTAGACAGAGTGTCCCTATTGGTTCTGCTGGCATTACCTTCCAGTGGCATTCTATACCATTGACCATGGTATCCTTCTGGGGTACCTTTCTGGGATAGGTCTTGGAGGTACTGTCTTACAGTGGTTCCATCCTTCCTGGATGGCCTAATTCAGAAGATGTCATTCGGGGAATTCTGGTTGGTGACTGGCCTGTGGTTACCTCCAGGATTCAATTCTGTCCTCCATGTTATTCAACATCTACATGAAACCGCGGAGAGAGGTTGTCTGGAGTTTTCAGGTCCAGTGACATCACTATGCTAACAACACCCAACACTCCTTTGTATCTGATTCCAAGGAAGCTGTTCTGTGCTTAAACCATTGCTTGTTGTCAGTAACAGACTGCATGAGGACTAACAAACTGAAACATAATCCAGACAAGACAGAGTTAATCCTAGACAATCAAGAGACAAAGCAGGGGACCGGGATCTTGCCTGTACTGAATGGGATTACACTTCTCCTGAAAAGTCAGGTTGAGGTTCCAGATTCAGCCTTGAGTTTGGATGCACTAGTCTCAGTGGCAGCTGGGAATACCTCAGCACATTTTAAACTGATGCCCCCATCCCTTGAGATGCCCAAACTGGCCATAGTGACACATGCCTTAGTTACATCTTATCTAGATTACTACAATACTATGTGTGCTTGTCTTTGAAGAGTGTTTGGAAACTTCGGCTGGTAAAAATGCTGCAACTGGACTGCTGACTGGTACTGGCTATAGGGAGTATGTAACTCTCTTATTACAACAGCTTCACTGGCTGCCAACCTATTTCCAAGCTCAGTTTGAAGTGCTAGATATTACCTATGAAGCCCTATACTATTTGGGTCCAGGCTATCTGAAAGATCATCATCACCCCACATAAGCCCATTCAGGTTTTAAGACCTTCTGGGAAGACTCTTCTCTCAGTTCACTCCCTTCCAAGGCATATCTGGTGAGGTCATGAGAGAGGGCCTTCTCAGTGGCTGCTCTCAGGCTTTGGAATGTGCTGCCCTGGAAGTGAGAGCTGGATCATAAAGAAACCTGACCGCCGAAGAATGGATGCTTTTGAATTGTGGTGCTGGAGGAAGCTCTTGAGAGCCCCCTGGATTGCAAGGAGAACAAACCTATCAGTTCTAAAGGAAATCAACCCTGAGTGCTCACTGGAAGGACAGATCCTGAAGGTGAGGCTCCAATACTTTGGCCATCTCATGAGAAGAGAAGACTCCTTGGAAAAGACCTTGATGTTGGGAAAGTGTGAAGGCAAGAGGAGAAGGGGATGACAGAGGATGAGATGGCTGGACAGTGTCATCAAAGCAACCAACATGAATTTGACACAACTCTGGGAGGCAGTGGAAGATAGGAGGGCCAGGTGTGCTCTGGTCCATGGGGTCACAAAGAGTTGGACACGACTAAATGATGCCACCCTGAGTAGCCAGGTTGGCCTCCTCCCTCTTATCCTTTCATCATCAGGCAAAGACTTTTGTTTTCAAGGAGACTTTTAAGCAATATGTGGTAACCCAGGGAACACTATGTACAACATTTAGATATGTTTAAATATTTTTGAATGCTTTTAAAATTGTTTTTAATCTTGACTAATGCTTAGTTTTGTACAGTATTTTAAATTAATATTGTACTTTTTAAAATGTTGTGAGCTGCTTTGGGTCCTTTATGGGAAGATGGCATATAAATAATACAAATACGATACATGCCTGCCTGCATGCAGACTCAAATTGTGTTCACCCATCCTGAACAGGTCAAACCACAACACTCCCTCAATTGTGTTGCCAAGTTTAACCAATTGTTTCTGCTGGTGATTGTTTAGTATCTGTGTTCTAAATCTTTTAATGTTGCTTTATGTTTCTGGTAGCAATTTAGAGTGACCGATCAGGAATCTGGAGTACAGGGTTAGAATTCCCACTCAGCCATGGAAACTGACCGGGGGAGTGGAACAGGCCAATCCATTCCTTAAATATCTCACTTACTTTGAAAGCCCTATTAGGGTCGATATAAATTGGTTCCAACTTGATGGCATGAAACACACACACACCCAGTGCAATTTTGTTTAATTGCAGTACTACCTTGAACCACATATGTATCTTACAATGACAATGTTTATGTTGTCTTTGAGAGGTAAATCGATCTTGAATTTTGACCGTTCTTATCAAAGCTTTGAAAACTGTTCAGTGCTCCAATCTCCCCCTCCACTGACCACAACCTTGTCCCCTTCCCTCAAGGGGAAAGCACTCAGCTTGGAGAGTTCACTGGCTATGTAAATAACGTCCACAGCATCACCTCAAGCCAGAGGCCATGGGACTTACAGCTCAGCACCATGATCTCCAGTGCCAGCAGATGCTGCAGGTGAGCCCAGTAGTGCCTCTCCTGAAACCCTCTACAGTCTATTACCACCACCTTCGACAAACCAAGGCTTGTTTTTGAGGCCTTCTGGAGCACGTGGCCAAGCACCCCTGCTTTGAACTCTTCTTATGTTGCCCTGAATATTTTTAGAGAAGTAACTCAAGCCTTAGTCCTATACATACTTGTAATGGGCAGCCAAGACATCACCTGTCCGTCACATCTGGGGAATAAGCCCCATTAAACCCTTAAGACTTACCTTTGTTTAAACATGCAAAGAATTACAATGGAAAATACCTTTGAAAATCAATTATTTCATTCATGCCGGTAGACCTGCCCTTGAGGTACAACCTTCCCGCATATACCCGCTACTACCAATTCCTGACCTTAAGGTCTTTCATCTAGAGACAAGACTTCCTGCTCTTACACAGTGTCTTCCTCGGACAACAAACAGATATTTTGCTTCCATGGCCTTATCTGTAGCCCTGCCAACCTCTTAGAAGCTGCCCAAGGTTCCCCTCCGGTGGCACAGCCTTTACAAAACCTAGGATCATCCCTATGCTACAATTAACAGCAGAATTTGTGGAGGTGCACTGGAATAACCCTGTAAAATCCAAGTTTCCTTGAGAACTTATACTTCCTGGGAATAAGCCCCATTAAACCCTTAGGACTTACCTTTGTTTAAACATGCAAAGAATTACAATGGAAAATACCTTGAAAATCAATTATTTCATTCAGGCAGGTATACCTGCCCTTGAGGCAAAGTGCAACCTTCCCGCATATACCCGCTACTAACAATTCCTGACCTTAAGGTCTTTCATCTAGGGACAAGACTTCCTGCTCTTAAACAGTGTCTTCCTCAGACAACAAACAGATATTCTGCTTCCATGGCCTTATCTATAGCCCTGCCAGCCTCTTAGAAGCTGCCCGAGGTTCCCCTCCGGTGGCACAGCCTTTACAAAACCTAGGGTCATCCCTATGCTACAATTAACAGCAGAATTTGTGGAGGTGCACTGGAATAACCTTGTAAAATCCAAGTTTCCTTGAGAACTTACAAGCCTATTTCATTTTCACTAGTACTCATATAGTACTAGTGAAAATGAAATATACACTATGTTGTAGCATACCATGCAGTCATGATATAAAATATATATTTAGACATAAAATATAATATATATATTTAGACATAAAATATATATTTAGCAGTGTATTAAAACAAGTTTCAATATATTTGTAAATGTAATTCGGCTTAGGACATTCTGCGAAGCAATTGCCAATTAATCTAATAAAAATTAAAACTTCACCAAAGCATTAAACACACACACACACATATACTTAAGCTTTTTAAAAAAAGTTTTAGATTGAAAAATCCATACATGTAATCTACTTTAGGAAATCATCCTACAAAATTGTGAACTAAAACAACCTTCTTCCTTCTAAGACTCTCAAGCATAGCTGAAACACTGTATATAAAAAGCAAAAAAAAAACTTTTAAAATAGTGCCAAAGCAGAAGAAAACCCAATAGGTAGTACAATACAAATGTTAATTTAAAACTGAACTGCCACAAGTACAATCAGTGCCTTTAATAATAACCAGCTGCTGTTCCTTGAAAACGGCCTCTCCTCCCCCTTAGATTACATGTTACCTTTTTCTAAACATCAACTCCCACAGTACCATTTATAATGCTTCCTAAATTAGATTGTTAACATCTGCTGGTTTTTGTCAATGGTCTGCTGGGCTTTCCTTTGATGGTTTGTGCTGCTACCAGTAAATCATGTTTGCTGTAGCATTAACTAGAAGGGAGGTAAGTAGAGTGTTTCTTTGTGTTCCTGCTAAGAAAATAACTAGGTAGAGGCTAATTCTCTACCCACCACATTTCAAAAGACATTTACAGCTCAGTTTGCAAACTAAGGTGCATTTACTGTGCATTTACATCTAATGTTCATTTACTGTTGTAATTTGGGGCTTACCTGTAATACTGTAGCTCTGATTCTAATTGCTGGATGTATGTCTGCAATTGTGGCACTTTAAGGGCTTTGGCTTCTAGTTCCTTTACTTTTCCAAGGCTATTAAGGACAGCAGATCTTGCTTCTTCAACCTTCTTCCTCATTTCGGCTTGCTCCCTCTTTAAGCTGCGATTGCAATCTTCCAGGGCGGCAAGGGCTTCATGAGAACTCTTCAGCTCTTTTTCCAGTTCTTGATTAAACCTAATTGCTTCTTCAATTTGTCCATCCCTGGAACTTCGGATTAGTTCAACCTCCTTCAGTACACTCTGAAGGCACTTAGAAGTCTGGGACTGGCTGTTTGTTAATGGTCTTTGGCTGCCTATAAAGCAGATCCCATTCTTCTTATGATTTGCGTGACTCTTCCACAATCCTACCTGCAAGTGAAACGGATGAAAGGAGAAATATAAATTATCAAATATAACTTTAAACAAGCATATTTGTTTTTCAGTAGGATCTGCTAATGTGAGTCAACAGCTAAATTAAATAATCATGCATGAATCTTTTACTTTGGACTTCTCCACATTCCATTTTCTTACGTGAAGATACAGTACTCAAATGAAAAGCATTCTCTCTCTCCGTATGGTGTGAAGATTTTACACTGTGTATAGGATTTATATACAGGTTTTGTTTTGTTTGCATAATAAATAACTTGGATTGACTGACAGCTGAGGACTATGAAAGCATGTTTATGAATGGAACTACAAATCAGTTAGTCTATGTGGTTTCTGGCTGGACACATTCTGTTTTGTGTATGAGGCTGTGTGTGAACGAGAGAGCAGTGAATTATTTAGTGCTCTCATATTCTGAGTATTAGTCAGTGGTGGTAGGGATGTATGAGAATGAGTGTGGTCTGTTTTGTGAAAAACTTATAAATAATAATGTGATTTTGTTGGCACTTGTGTCAAAGCATGTATCTATGTACCAAAGCAAACAAAGGCTAATGTTAAATTAGCACTTAGCAAGCACTGACCGTTTGCCTAGGACACTCCAAAAGAAGGAGTTTCTATCACAAATTTAAACAGCAACTCCAAACAGTGTAGAGCTTTGGGGTTGTTAGTTGTTTGGGTGATGGAACACACAGAAGAGTGAAAATACGGTAAGTACTGCACATGAATTAGGAAGCTGGTACATAAATCTGTGGCTTCCCAAAAAAGGATACAAAAGTATAATCTCAAATTAAACAAGCCACTGATTTAATTGCTTCATATTTATTTATTTATTTATTTATTTATTTATTTATTTATTTATTTATTTATTTATTTATTTATTTATTTTTATTTTATTTTATTTTATTTTATTTTATCTTACAATAAAAACAACAATATAATTTTAAAAACTTTACACCTCAGACAGAAATGAAAATAAAAAACAGAATAAAAGAAAAAAAGATCATCAAGAGTTTGTTGTTGGGAAGGCCTTCCAATCCAATATCTGAAATCTGTTTCTTAGTGTAGTAGGTGATACTACAGGAATCAGTGGGCATTTGGTATGTCAACTCCTCTGCAAATTCCACTGATTAAAATGGGCCAACTCTACTTGTGACTTGAACATAATAAGCTGCAACTAGAGTCAGCCCGTTTGTATCAATGGATCTTACTGATGAATTGGCTCATGAAATCCCCATGAATGCAATAGGCCTACTCTAGTTATGAGTCACTATAATAAGCAACAGGATTTCAGCCACTAAGAAGGGGCTGACTCCAATTTCAATTGGCTACAAACAACATGGACAATGGTGAGGGCCGATGGGAGCAAAAATACAAAAATATCCAGAAGCCCGTTGTTTCCCATCTCTGCATTGAGAGATACTCATCATATGCCAACATGAGCACTTATACATTACAAGTGGGCAGAGGAGAGCTGACGGTTTTAAGTGGTGAGCAGCCTCTTAATAGAATAACAACAAGAACTGAGGTAGGGTGTTGTGTGCTGTACTAAGCCATCTGCATGCCATGAGCTATATAAAGGGGTGAGGAACCTTTTTTAATTGGGGAGAGGGAATTACAATCTGGGAAAGGTCCTGTAGGTTGGTGTTACAGGAAATGGGCAGAGAACATGGGATGGAGCCAAAGAAAGAGGAGGCAAAGCCAATGAAAATGGGGTGGCTCCAGATGTAATTTTTGTCTTTGATCATTTCCCAAGCAGCATACAAGTCTCTGTTCAATTCTGCCAATGTTTTCTCATTAGTAAGCACCACTGGAACAGCTGTCAAGACACACAAAGTGCAGACCAGATTTAGGCAGAGTTATTTAAGAAAGTGTGAAGGCAAGAGGAGAAGGGGACGACAGAGGACGAGATGGTTGGACAGTGCCATCGAAGCTACCAACATGAATTTGACCAAACTCCAGGAGGCAGTGGAAGACAGGAGGGCCTGGCGTAATTCTGGTCCATGGGGTCACAAATAGTCGGACGCGACTTAACAACTAAACAACAACAAATTTAAGAATATTTCACATTTGAAATGCCTTTAAATTTCCTCTTTATCTACAATCACTGATCAGCAGTAATGGCAGATGTCTGAAGGCTGGAATGGCTCTCCCACAGGCTACATTGAGCCATGGGAGCAGGAGGCTCCTGTCTCTTCATGTACAAATACCAGCTTGCAGAACACACCCTCTCTCTCTCTCTCTCTCTCGCTCTCTCTCTCTCTCTCTCTCGCTCTCTCTCTCTCTCTCTCTCGCTCTCTCTCTCTCTCTCTCTCGCTCTCTCTCTCTCTCTCTCTCGCTCTCTCTCTCTCTCTCTCTCGCACACACACACACACACACACAGAGAGAGAGAGAGAGAGAGAATCATCACGCTACTTCTGCAAGTGGTTCAGCTTTCAGGCAAATATCCTGACACATCTCCATAAAGCCAAACTGTGAATATTTTGCTGTTTTGATAACTGTTCAAAACACTTTCAGGATTGGTGAACACTCCAAAATAGAAATAAAGAGTTGAATAGATATTGTACCACTGCAGATGTTTACATTATTTCATCCATGGATTCAGGGTGGCTCTATGTCTCTTCGTGTGCCAGACAGTAAATAAAAGAGGTGGATTATAGAAGCAACTTCCGCTGAAAACTAAGGGGAAACATACAAATGAATGTACAATTAAATAAAGTAGGCTTGTAGTACGATGTTCTGAGTTTAGTGGTGACTCTTAAGAGTACAACAGACAGCAGCCTCAAATACATTTAGACTTCAGTTCTCTGACCAGTTTCTTGAGATTTAGCATCACTATTTTCACCAAGACATACTCTGACTGCACATACTGGACTGCATTGAAATCCACAGAAATCAGTGTGCTTAATTATGTATTGGATCCTGGTTTCTGTACTTTGCCACTACTGATGTTATGCGCTGTCATGTCACCTATGTTATAGCACGTTTTCTGGAATTTTTTTGAGGGATGAGAGATGTTTAAGATATGGTTTTACCGTTGCCATTCTCAGTGAGTTTCCATGACTGAGTGAGGATCTGAACTCATGTCTCTTCAGCATCATTTCTCTAATTTTCTGCTAGCATGGGGTAGGAGCCTTGCCCCACATGCAGGCTTCTGACTGCGACCAGAAGCAAATGGGCAGCAACACTGGCTTGGCTGCATGGCCCCAATACAGTACTGCGCACCCAGATGACTTAGAGGGAATGTTGGTCACGAGTAAATCCACAACATCACACTGGCTCTTTACTTTGCTACTACATAGGATCGATTCATGCTATAATCCAACTTTTTGCCTTTAATTTTAAAAGTCCCAAACACCTTTAAACAAAAAAGTCTACCAATGCCATTAAAGTCAATAAGATATGTGGCTACATAAAGGGGGGAAGGGGCTGCTGCCTAACCTGGCTACATAAAGGGGGGAAGGGGCTGCTGCCTAAACCTGTAAGGGCTATCCAGTCACAACTCTCCCCCCCCCCGCAAACAAAATCAATTTCAAAACCTTCCACATGTATCCTACTTTTATATTTTAAAAAATCATGTCCATATGATGTCTTTTCCATTCTTACATTAATTGACTTTATTTGAAAAGAGATCCTATTGATGGATCACTTATATGTGACATATGGCAACTCCATGGTATGTTCATTCAAAACACCACAGTGGACAATGCATCACATTCTTTGTTCATTCATTTGATACAACAGGATGTATGTCAGAGAATTTATGTCAGACCAGAAACAAGTTATTGAAAATAGACTCAACTTGTTACTGTACAACCTATTCAGTTATAAACATGATTCTCCTATGAACTTCTACTGATTTTTGGTATACAGTATTTGCTTGCTCCCACTATGGGACTGTGATTACTCACTTACCCTTTCTTCAAAAACTAACCAGACTTGAGAGAGGACAGAAACTATGTTGTTGTTGTTTAGTCGTTAAGTCGTGTCCGACTCTTCGTGACCCCATGGACCAGAGCACGCCCAGGCCCTCCTGTCTTCCACTCCCTCCCAGAGTTGGGTCAAATTCATGTTGGTACCTTTGGTGACAAAGTCCAATTCTAAAATGGAAAAAAAATGAAGTCAAAATTTCAGTACAGGTCCAGTCACAGTAATGGAACCTGCCTACAGTATTTGGGAAAGGCAAAAATCAAGGCTTTTGATATCTTCCATGAGCTTATTACAGTATCAGTATTAACAGAATTTAATGATTTTGCATTCATGCAAAGGTTATTTATGGCACTCATTCCCTAACTGTGGAGCGTGCCCTTCTGCAGAAGAGCATGAAGAAATTTCATGGGAGTGTGACAAGGTGAAGTTCCCATAAAGAAAACACATCTTTGTCAGCTTAAACACATTTCTATAATACTGCCACCAGAATTTAGGATTCCTCAATTTAAAAGAAATACTGTACTTGTGCATATTTATACTGTAATTTACATTTTTTTAAAAAAAAAGTTTTGTGTTTATACTGTATTTAATTTTAAATTACATATATTTACTTATTTAGTTAGCTAGTTAAAGGCTAACTGTCTTGCAAGTACAGTACTGGATGATAGCAAAGGAGAGGTGCGGGGACCTGAGGGAGTCTCAAATAATGAAATGGATCCCATGGCGTCAAAAAGTTTGGGAACTATTGTACTGATTTATGGGAAAGCTATCGCCCACCCTTACCTTCTGATTGCACTCCCTGATAAGTGTGCTAAGAACTGCAAGCCTTAGAGCTGGGCTTGTGAATCCAGTCAAGGCTCTCTGTGCCTTCTCAGAAGTCCCCTTCTGAGAGTTGCCTCAGGCATCGCAGATTCAAATCAGGTGGCAACGTTGATGCACTCACAACATGCTCAGCGTCATTTAGGTAACGCTTACTGGCTTCAGGGAGTGCTCGTGTGGTGTAGTGGCCAGATAATTAGACCCGGGACACTTTGTTCCAAACTTGTGCTTGGCCACGGAAACTCACTGCGAGGTGGCGCTGGGGAAAGCGCTCCTGAAGTAGCGGGCAAACCTCATAGGGTCCTCACCCGTCAGAATCCAGGGCACATGACGGGGGGAGGGAGAGAGACTCAATCGGATGCTCGGAGTGCTCGGACACCGCCTCCACCCCGCCGGTCTCTTCCTGAACAAGCCCAGAAGCAGGGGAGCGGAGCGGAGTGGAGGGGGAAGCAGAGCCGGGCGGGAAGGCGCCCCCTTGCACCGGCTCAGAGGCTGCTCCTTTGCTCCGAGCCGCCGGTGGGGCCGACCGACCGACCGACCGTCGGGGCCCCGGCCTGCCTGCCTGCGCTCACCTGCAGCGCCAAGCCCCGGGCGTCGCTGCTCTGCAGGGCGGCCCTCATGTCCTCGACCAGCTCGCGCAGGCTGGCGTTCTCGTCCTCCAGCTT